GATCGTCATCATCAACTACAATATCACTCACAAATCAAAAGGTCGGTGTCTTAAAAGAATGGTCAACTTCAAACTTCTCAATTAAAAATATTAAAGTCTTTTTATCTCCTTTTTACAGATTGGATCTAGCTAGATTGTCACGACCGTATTTCCTTTTGTATACTCCGCACAATTGAAATTTGACACAGAACCATTTCTTGTATTACTTTTAAAAAAAATATCTGGCTTTATCATGGCAGTCCACTATTAGAGAACATGAAGACTTATAGAAGCATTTCAGTCCCCTCTGCCCCCATCGTGTATTTTTTAAAGAGATAGGACATGTTTGGAAGTGCTTTTAAAATGACTAAAAACACTTTTGGTGGAAATATTTTGGAACTAATCTTCGGTTAAAATGCAAGTGAACCAAATAACATTGAGCTCGTTTGAAAGTGTTTTCAAAATGATTGAAAGCGCTTTTGCGTGTTTCTATAATCAATTCTTAGTAAAAATGCAAGTATTTTAGAATCGGAACTCAAAAAACACTTTCGCAAAAAACGCTTTCAATCATTTTTTTAATGCACTTCCAAACCACTTCGTAAAACTTCACTTCTACCCATTTTCTTTTTCGATTCTAATAATGTTAAACTTACAAATGTTGAGTTTTCAGATATATATTTGTTCTCAATTTTACTACATTTCTCATTGGGCTTAAAGGTAAGGTATCTATATGAGCCCAGTCCAATCATTGAGCCCACTTTTTTTTATTTTTCAACTGGGTTTATTTCCTTGCTCTAAGCCCAGACCTCTGAAGGCCTACCAAAACCCAACATATGTAAAACCGATCTCAACTCTCTCCTCTACCATTGCACAACTTGAACTTGTCTATTTTGTTCCTCAAGGTTGTGACATCATTGTAAAAATGAACTTGACTTTCAATTGGTCTAGCGTTATTTAAGTCGGCACTTGATTATAAGAAGTCTTATGTTCAACTCGTACAGATGCATGAATGATTTCAATTGTAGTGAGTTGGACAACGTTTACGATAAGTTAACAATACGTTCTAAAATTCTTTATAAATAACTTATTGCTTATGGCAAAAAAATTTAAATTTATCAAAAACATTACTAAGACAATGGGTTACATAAGATATTGTCTCATGAGAAGATTCCATCCCATGTTATAACGAGTGTGCAATTTTGCTCATCGCCCTTAAATGATGGTAATGCTCATCACCATCTTTATCGAGTGCATTTTTGCTCATCACCATTTCGTGTGGTGTATGCTCAACACCTTATTTATCACCGTTAGATGAGTTTGAATTTTGAGATTTGTGCTTACCCCACTACACAAATTTAGAAATTCAAACTCATCTAACAATGATAAATAGGGTAGTGAGCATACACCACACTAAATGGTGGTGAGCAAAAATGCTCCCCTCTTTATCATCGTTAGATGAGTTGAAATTTTGAGATATGTGTATATCCGCTGCACACATCTCAAAATTTCAACTCATCTAACGATGATAAATAGAGTGACAAGCATCACCATCATTTGAGGATGATGGATAGAAATATTCCCATTATTACAAAATTCATGGTACAGCATTTCCTTTGTAGTTTTATTCCAGGTTGCCACATATATGCTTTGTGTGACTTAAAATTATGGACTACATACTATATGGTGCATGATGTTGATACACTTGCAAATGACGGGTAAAGACCGTTGCCATCAAAAGCGACAGTTAGTTTAGTTAAGAGTTTAGAATAATAGTGACCCTAAATATCCAAATATCCAAACAGATAAAGGATAAAGACTTCTAAATTATTTGACATGTTTAGAAGTGTCTTTTAAATGATTGAAAGTTTTTTTTTTTTTGAAAAATGTTTATGAGTGTTGCTTTTTAGGATGCACTTGCATGTTTACTAGATTAGCTCCAAAACATTTTAACAAAGTGCATTTTCAGTTATTTTAAAAATAGTTTTAAATGAGCTTGTAAAGAGTTGAATTTTTTATATTTTGGTAATATAAAAGGGGCAAAAGAAAATCTGTCTTTCACGCTTGAAACTTATTTCCATTTTTTGAAGATATTCTTATTTGTTTATACTATTTATTCTCGACTCTTGGAAGAGACGGATAACCGTGACTTGCCACCAATTGTCTATTTAAAAAAATATATTATTACACTCATCCATTGCAATTATTATAAAGTAAAATCATTGGTATTAAACTAATTTACACAAAAAAAAAATTAGATGTTTCATTTCTTTCTTTATTCACATATCATTACAACATATAATGTTCCTAATTTATAAAAATTGAAATAAATTCTCACATTTCTCTCCAGCTTCTCTCTTTCATATTTTTTTTAAAATCTTTTATATTTACACAGAGTGTGCTGGTCGACTCGATCCATCTCATTTTTAATGAAATTTTTTAATTGAATTGAAAGAAAAATTAATTGACCATTTAATCTTTTACTATTAATTAAATTGCCTAAATACTACTATATAAACGATTGTAGTCGGCAAAAATGTCGTTTTCCGTGGGCTTTTGACACCACAAAATATGGGGAGCATTTTTTGTTACCACCATAAATTATGATGTATGCTCACCGTACATTTAATCAATTGACACATGTTATTTCACTTAATCTTGGTTAATTTTTTTCAAAATTGAAAAACTAACATTTAATGTGAAAGTTAACTATAATTAAGTGAAATAACATCTGTCAATTAATTAGGTGTATGATGAACATACATCATAATTTATGGTGGTAACAAAAAATGCTTCCACAAAATATGCGTAACCACAAATCGAAAGTTTGTTTTTGTATGAAATATCAAGAGCCACGTGGCAGTTCGACAAAAGAAAAAACAAGAAAGACACATGGCAGATGTCTGAAGTAAAACTTGACACTTCAACGCAGGGATAAAAGAAAGTTCAGAAATTCTAATGATTTTGATCTACATCTTGATCTTTGATAATATATTGTTCGATCTACATCTTGATCTTTGATAATATATTGTTCAACCATCTTCATGTGACTATCGCACAATGACACGTACATATAAATTTAGGAAAGATATTCGAAACGATTTCTTGCTTTGAATCTATACAAGTTTATTAGTCTATTGTCAGATTTAGCTTATTATTTCATATTTTTAGTGTAAATAGAATCATTTGTTCAAAAAAAAAAAATTATTAGAGAACTGTTACCGGACTCTCTATTGAACTCTCTGTCACTTCACAAATAAAACGTCAATTTTCTTACGAATATGATGAAATAGTGTATAAAACATATGAAGTGACAGATAATCTGTTGTCAGATTTAGCTTATTCTTCTATTTCTTTAGTGTAAATAGAATCGCTCGTTCAAAAAAAAAAATTGTTTACCAGAGAACTGCTACCAGACTCTCTACGGGACTCTCTATCACTTCACAAATAAAACGTCAATTTTCTTACGAATATGATGAAATAGTGTATAAAACATATGAGGTGACAGATAATCTATTGAGAGTCCCGCTTTTGAAAGATACCAATTAGTATTTTTCAAGTTGACTGATCCACAGTTTGGTGTAAAATATAATACAAATACCCGTATGAGAGCAACCATATAGATAAGGACGTAATTTAGATGCCTCTTAACGCAAGTTTTCTTGGACCTACCTAACACAAATCTAAAGTGAATCATGTTTGTCTATTTCATCAAAATAATATTGGAATTACAACCAGTAACAATTCATAAAAAGGGAGAATTTGTTCATGGTAAGCACTAATGCTTGATGCTAACCTACTTTTCACTTTTGCTATTTATTCTTATATTTTGGTGATGCCAATGTTATTTACACTTATACTTTTGTAATGTCAAATTCATTATGTAAATCAAATGAGCTTGTAACTCTGTTGATACGAATATATATTTTTGCATTTGGATTTTGATTTAATTATTTTTTTATTACAGGTGATACCATTAATCTAAACTAAACTGAAAGGAGAAAAATATTGAACCCTAAAACACATTCGGTCGAAGAATAATCTCACATTAGTACTGTGTTTTTTTAGGCAATAAGCACTGTTTAATCCTAAACACTAATCGTTCTAAAACTCTTGAGTATAAAATAGGGTGGCGCTATCAATGCATCTATTTTTACCTTCCACACACACTTTTCAATTTTTCAGCTATTAGATCGAATAAATTGAGATATCAAAAGATAGAAACTAACAGGGTTATGTGGAGTTAAAAGATGTGTATGGATTGCACACTATAAAATATTCCAAAATAACTAAAAAATTTCCAAAATGCGTAGTGCTATTCATACACTCATTTTTATTTTCACATATCTCTCAATTTTCGGCTGTCAGATCGAACGAATTGAAGTAGATCACACCCATTTGTACTTCTTACACATCCTCTCAACTTTCGACTGTCATATCAAATGAATTGAAGAAGACCATAACCATTTTTACATTTTTCATAGCCTGCTTCATTTTTTGCTATCGAATCAAATAATTGAAGAAGAACAATATAAAAAAAATTAACAAAAGTGTGAGAGGTCAAAATATGTGCGTATATTCACTTTGCTTCCGAAATATATATGCATTCTGGATTGTGGGAATTGGATCCGCTTTGGACTTTAATGTCCCGAGTCTAAGGATCAACTAATATGGGTTGCACAAATTGAATCCAACAGTCTTTATTAACTTATTTTCCTGACACACCACTCACAAGCCAACATCTTTAATATTTTACATACTAATCAACGGTCGATATGAATTGGGCTTCAGACACTAAGGTCCAGAGCGGATCCAATTCTCTAGATTGTGGACAAAGAAGGAAAGCAAGTACCAACTGAAACGGTTAAAAGAAGAAAATAAAAAGGACAGAAGAACAAAACAGGGACAAAGACAAAAGGCCAAAATAGAAACCAATCATTATCCCCCTTTTAATTCCGTAAATTTATGATTCTTTCCCCACAATAATCTCGTAACACTGTAAAAAATCTGGACAGATGAGAGAGAGAGAGAGAGAGAGAGAGAGAGAGAGCCAATAAACCGCTTTAGACGTTACCGACACTAGAGACAGATGAGAAGAAACCCCACAAACGCCAGCCGTTTGCTTGGAATCGGATCCAGCGGCCGTTGATGAGAGAGAGAGAGCAGAGCTTCCCACCAAGAATAAGTGCCTTCCCTTAATGCTCCTATCTGCTTCTTTCAGATAAGCATTGTCGTATTCTCCACTCCTACTCCACGCGGCAGAAATAAACCATCTTTTGGTTTCTGGGTCTTCTACAATTTAAAGGGAATTCAGATATGTGATTATTTTTTCCGCGAGTTTTACAGTTTTTTTTTTTTCTTGGGTTTTTCATGTTGTAGTCTTGGTGTGTAGGAAAAGGAAAGAGTGGGAACTGGAGAGGTGTTTTTGAATCGTACTCGGTTTTTACAGTCTTGTTCTTGTGTAATAGTGTGGGATTTTGGGGTGGTCTGAGATTCTGAGGGCGGATTTGAGATGGGTATTCTGAGTGCGATTTTGGGTTTTGTGGGTTTTGGAGTTGGAACTTCAACTGGGCTTGTGATCGGGTATTACGTCTTCATCTACTTCCTGCCAACTGATGTCAAGGTCGGTTATTTTTTTTCTATTTGTTCGAATTATAACTATTAGTGGATTACTGCTCGGCTGATTGCTGATAATGTTTGTGTTTTGGTTCAACAAATGTCAATTTTTGTGATATATCTGATTTGTAATGAACCCAGAATCCTGCAATTCGTCCATTGGTCGAGCAAGATTCGAAAACTCTGCAGAGGCTGCTTCCGGAGATACCCATGTGGGTGAAAAATCCAGACTACGATCGTGTATGTTCAATTTTCGAAATTTTAGTTTTTGCAAATTGATTTTCTTGAGTTGGTGTTACAAATGCCACCAGAGAAGCTTATCATGATTTTTGTTTCTGTGAAGGTTGACTGGCTCAACAAATTTATTGAGCTCATGTGGCCTTACCTGGACAAGGTAATGCATACATATTATAACAGTACTCGTATATTTTCCAGGGGTGTTTTGCTTGGTTGAATATCTCTTACTCTTTTGTACTGAGTATTGGTGGTGAATTTGTTTTTGTTTTTAGGCAATTTGCAAAACTGCGAGGACCATAGCAAAACCCATTATTGCTGAGCAAATTCCGAAATACAAAATTGACTCCGTCGAGTTTGAAGTGCTTTCCTTGGGCACCCTACCGCCAACTTTTCAAGGTTGAGTTGATCTTCTTACTTTCCCTCTCTTACACACACACACAATTTTTGGAGCTGCATTCTATTTTCACGATCCCACCCATCGGTTATATGCTACTTATCACTCTTTATTTTGTGTTGTTATTGTTAATTTCTTGACAGAGTATACTGTGAACAAGATGATATCCGCCTTAAAATTTCCATCTTATTTTATTTTAAAACTTTGTTCTGTTTTCCCCTGCTATGCAATACTCGTGCTGAGTACGCATTTCTTGTTTTTTCTGCATATGGCAGGAATTAAAGTGTATGTTACCGGTGAGAAGGAAATTGATAATGGAGCTACAACTGAAGTGGGCAGGAAATCCTAACATCCTTGTTGCAGCTAAAGCATTTGGTTTGAAAGCCACGGTTCAGGCATGTTCCATGAAGGAACTAGTATATTTAAAGTTCAGTATGTCTGCACACACACTACCCCAAGCGGTGGTCTGCCTATACCATGCACACACACTTGAACTAATGCTTTGAATAAAAGTTAAGACGAGAGACTTATTACTGGATTTGAATGAAGCATTGATTCTTTGGATTGTTTCAGGTGGTTGATTTGCAAGTGTTTGCTTGTCCACGCATCACCCTGAAGCCTTTGGTTTCAGCCTTTCCTTTGTTTTTCAAAAATTTTCGTGTCTCTGATGGAGAAGGTTTGGTACTGATTCCATTTTTCATATTGCTTACATGCTTGATGATTGTATTACAGCAGAAAACTAGTTGGTAGTCAGGGACGTGGTATGTATTTTTATATAACTACATTGATTTGGTATTCTGGTACCTGACAATCCAGAATCGGAAATGTGTTATATTTCATGTCATTTTCAGATGTACATTCTATATGACTTCAATTTAATTGAAAAAGGCTCAATTTTTGTAATTATGACCATTAGAGATGTATGCTGGGATTAGATGTCCATGACCACCCCCTATAGACAACCTCAGAATTATAATTCTGTTGCGGTGTCTATAATGTGCCACGTCTCCCCCGTCTCCTTACTTCCATTTCATTTTCCTTTCTATTTTCCCTTCTCAGCTATCTTATTAATGATTTGCAGCCACATGTTGACTTTGGATTAAAACTGCTTGGAGCAGATGCTATGGCTATTCCTGGCCTGTATAGGTTTGTCCAGGTAGCATCTCTTACTTTTTGCAAAGGTTAAGCGATGATATGGTTTGTGTTTACATCGTATATGAAGGATGATTAGTATGTATGTTATACCAAGATGCATAGATTACTTATTTATAGAATATTCTACTTGAAACTTGAATTTCTCAACGCCATCTTGCTTCCTTTTGTTATTCTGTTTTGATTCATCAGGAGCTTATTAAAGAACAAGTGGCAAACATGTACTTATGGCCCAAAGCACTAGAAGTACAAATCATGGATCCCACAATGTATGTGTCATGTTGTTTTGTTTCGAGTAATTGTGTAACTTGGTTGTTGTGACCTAATAATTTTGTTTCATTCTGTCAGGGCTATGAGGAAGCCTGTTGGGATTTTGCATATAAAAGTTCTTAAAGCAATGAAGCTTAAAAAGAAAGATTTCTTAGGAGGAGCAGATCCATATGTGAAAATCAAGCTCACTGAGGACAAGCTTCCTTCAAAGAAAACAACTGTGAAACACGGCACTTTGGACCCTGAATGGAATGAAGAGTTTAATTTCGTAATCAGAGACCCAGAGACTCAAGCATTAGAGTTGATGGTTTATGATTGGGAAAAGGTATGTTTCTTTGTTTGGAAATGTGAAAGAAAGTAGATACGTCTTTTTTTAGCATGATTTTGTTTCTTTCCAGGATGGATAGAAATATACATAAGCGAGAAGCCAAATTGTACCCTTAGTTCTCTACATTTATGCGTATAATAATGTGGGTTTAATTTTTCTTAGATTGGCAAGCATGACAAAATGGGTATAAATGTCATTCCACTGAAAGAACTTACACCTGAAGAGCCTAAAGTTGTGACTCTTGACATACTGAAGAGCATGGACCCCAATGATGCTCAAAATGACAAGTCACGTGGACAGCTTCTTGTGGAATTGATCTATAAACCCTTTAAGGAGGATGAGATGCCTAAAGATGATGAAGATCCAAATGCTGTACAAAGGGCTCCTGAAGGAACACCTGCAGCTGGTGGTGCGCTTGTAGTTACCGTCCATGAAGCTGAAGATGTGGAAGGAAAGCACCACACTAACCCACAAGTGCGCATACTTTTCAGGGGCGAAGAGAAAAGAACCAAGGTACATAAGTCCCTCGTTGTCCTTGTCCTTTCTCCGTTTTTCCTCTTATTGTTTATAAACTATAGTTACTGCATGCTAAAGGCCCGTAGCAAGGAAAGGAGGCTGTTTTTTTTTAGTCGGAGACTCTTGCATTCTAAGTTAGTTGAAAGATGAGAAGAAATAGTAAAATCTTATTTTCTGTATATGTAAAAGAAATCAGTTTATTGGTGCTCATGCATGTGTAGGATAAGAACTTCTGATGAATATACGAATTTGTTCCCGAACTGTTATGCAAATGTCATTGGTTTTCCCTCCAGGATGCTGATACAATAAGAAACGATTGAATGTCATTCATTTTATGTGATCGTGGAATTTCAAAGTTTAACTTGGCTATAAACGTTTTGTATGCTTACTTACAATCGCATTGGGAACTGACAGCTTGTCAAGAAAAATCGGGATCCACGATGGGAAGAGGAGTTTCAGTTTATATTGGAAGAGCCACCGAAAAAGGAGAGGCTTCATGCTGAAGTGGTTAGCCACTCCTCAAGGATGGGGCTGTTGCATCCCAAGGTAACACAACTGAAACACATTCAACTTATTTGGATTTGCGTTTTTTAAATAACCCTCGGGTGTTTTTCCTTCCGATCAGGAAACTCTTGGATACGTGGACATAGACTTGGCGGATGTTGTTAGCAACAGAAGAATCAATGAGAAATACCATCTGATAGACTCGAAGAATGGACGGCTTCAACTCGAGCTGCAATGGAGAACAGCTTCTTGAGGGGTATTGCAGTAAAAGATGTGTGTAGAAATGGTAAATGCCCTGTAAATTTCGTTTCCTTTCGGATCATGTCCCGTGCGTTTTCATAAATCTGTGTAAATGCTACTCTCTGATTTCTCACCCTACCAGACAATTCAAAGAATGCCTTTGAACTTCCAAATCCAGAATTTGCTATCGATGAATATATTTCTTGTTTGAGATCAATCATCTCTTTTAACTTTCATGTTTCCATAGGGAGGACTCGCCTACGCTCCGTATGCAAACTTTGACGGTATTCCGAGTTAACAACGCAAGCAATCGATGGAATCTTGTTTGAGATTCATCGATAGTCTTTTAACTTTCATGCATGCATCCTTAGGGAATAATTTTTTAAATACAGGATATGTCACGGTAGCAGTATTCCAACTCAGGTTAACCAACAAAGCATTGAAGAGTAGGTACGAAATCTGCCATCTATGCAAGTTAGGGATAAAATCATTAAGCATGTGTGCTAAGTAAATCATATTCTTTGTTTTTCTACTATAGTATTCTTTCCTTGGCGGGTTTTATTCGTGACGGGTTTTTACTTAATTCTAACTCACCTAGTCGGTTTTTAAAATCAGGTTGAGCATGTGTAGATTCAGGTTGACCGACTCAAGATGCATCCCTAATGGATGTAAACAGTTTAACATCAAGTGATACGTGAATGAACAAACAAAATATAAAATCACGAATTATACTTTATTAATTGAAACATATAAACACTGCATAACCCGTCATACTAATCTTACTACTGTGGAGAATAATTGAATACAATACAAGCACTCCAATAAAACACTAAATCAACCCCTAGCTAATTCTTAACGGGCTAGAACCCTAATCTTGGCCCACAAGAAAAACCATAAATAATAAAAAAATTAACTAAGTTTCCAAACACAAAGCTGCTGGGTTGGGCAGCACAAATCGTTGGACGTCTCTTCCTTCGTCTTGTCGGGGGTTTCTGGTTAGGATTGTTCAGACCGGAAAAGTCCCCATTTCAAAGAGCTGAACTGAGATTTCTAGGGTCCAGTTTGAAATTGTTCAGACCCGAATAATCCAACCCGAATTATCTGAGAAACCCAAATAACCAACCCGTTTCATCTAAAACCCAAGATAATCAACGGAGGAGGGGTGTGATGTGACCATTTGCGGCGTTTATACTCGATTAGACTGAACACTGAACACACTTGATGAAGAGATTGCAAGTCCTGAAAAGTTTGGTCCTTTTGAAATTTTGAAGGACGGGATGATGGCAAATCCATCCATCCATCCATCTATCGATCTATCAATCTGATTCCACAGGTCCGGTAAGGAGTAGTAGGATTCTCTACTCTTCTTCTTTTTTTTTTTTTTTTTTTTTTTTAAGGGTTACAGTAAAACCATATCAACATCTTATATTATTTTTTTATAACAAAAGAAAGACAAGAGAATATGAGAGGAATGGATGGAAATGGATGTAAAGAGAAGGGAAGAGAATCCTAATCCAGTAAGCATAAGCATAGGCACAACCTTTCATCTAAAAAATGTCAACAATACACTCTCAAAATGGGATTCTACGTAAATTTTTTGTTATTTTATATTTTTAACATAATATTTTATGATTGACACAAAAATTATGAAATTACGAAGAATTCATGTAAATTTCTACTTTTGAAATAATTTCTTTAACATTTCGCTTACCAAACTACAACAAAATAGGCATCATTCTTGTCGTTTAAGAAGAGAAATTTGAAGGTTACTTTGACCCAAGTCCCAAAGCCAAAGCTTGTGGTGTGTTTGTATACACAATATCATATGTCACGCTACCAAAGTTTAGATACATAAGTCTTTATTACAACCATGAGTTGATCACTTTATTAGTATTACTCTTGGATATATCATTTGTATATTATAATCTATCGTTATGAACATAAATATATATCACCTGTTGCATGGTGAATTCTCTCAATTAGATGGACACCTTTAACGTAATACTTAATACAATAAACTATACAACCATTTCTTGGTCCCAAAATAACCATGATTTTTCATGCTACAAATTTACAAGTGAAATGGATAGAGTCCCTTTGTTGAGACTAGAATTGGCAAGCCAGTCATGTTTGTTGTGTTCATGTCGTTTTCGTGTCATACCAGTTATCTTAATTGATTCATATCATATCAAACTCGTTATCTTAACAAATTCTTAACAGATGACACGATAACGACTTGATTCGTTAATAGTTCATGTCGTTTCGTGTCAGATTAATAGGTTATGTAATAAATTGTCGTGCTTAATGTTCAAAAGGGTCATTTACGTGTCATATTTGTTATCTTAACAAATAATCTAACAATGATCTTATTCTTTAACGGTTGACACGATAGCGACTAACCATTGGTACTTGAGCAATAAAGAAAAACGAATATTAACCTATAAAAATAGTCCCTAGCAACTCAGAACTATGCAATGTCCTCCTACCAATAACGAAAATTCCCCTACTTTCTAAACCATCCTAAAAGTTTTCATTTTTCTAAAGACAATAATAATCCTAATATAATAGATATCACTGATACAAAAATAACCATCTTTATTCTTCTAACACTGAGCTTATAGATTCCTGCAATTGAGAATTCATCCACTAACACGCATGATCTGAAGAATATGAATCTGTTCCCAAAACCCTAGTGGAAGAACAATGCGCAGCTTGGATCAAATCAGAAAGCATCAATGCTGCTGTCCTTGTTGTTACAATTTGTGAGGTTATCGAAACATCCCCACCCAAATTCTCCAGTAACGTCTCTTTCGTTTTTAGCATCTGTGCCATAACAAAAAGAGGTCCATATCCCTAAAAGCTTACTTTGTTGTAAAGTTGTCAACCAAAATATTTAAGAACGGTATCTACGAGTGAACTCGTTTTGTTCTCCATAGACTCAATTGATGGTCTTGAATCAAAGGGGAGACTTGTGGGTGTGGTGGTTACATGTTCATCCTTCTAACTTTGAGAAAAACTTTAGTAGGAAAATCGATAGCATTATCCATTGGAATATTCCACAAATGTATATGACTCGTGCGTTTTGAACTCATCATACAATTTCAAGCTGGTTTTGTTGCATGCGAGGATTTACCTAATAGCGTAGTTCCAGTTATGTTGAAAGGGAAGGAGATACGTTATTCTAAGGAGATGGAAGATTGAGTCGGCATCCACACAATGGGCCACAAACTTATTAGAGTATTGAACTTAACACAAATTTAATAATACATCGTTGATATTTATGCAAATTGAACTTAACATTTTCATTTTTATTTTTTTTATTACATTGATTTTTTTTTATACTAAGGGGAGGGGTGTTTAGCTATGTCATACAATAGACAGCCTAATTTGGTATCGAATTCGCCATCCACAAGATTCGAACCTAAGACCTCTTACTTCCAAGTGAATATGAATAACACCAGACCATAGTACTGGGTGGCAAAACTTTTAGTTAGAAGTGAAGAATAATACTACTTCATATTTGACATTAGTAGTGGTAATTGATAGTTGACACAAGATTAAGGGTTGTAAATGTAAGATTATCAAGGCAGATCGATGGAGTGAAACAAACGAAATGAGAGATTTTTCAATATGTCTGAATACGACCCGATAAATCAAGTGTCATAATATAATTAGTTGAAAACTTAAAATAAAAATTTCATCTAATTATATTATGACACTTGTTATACTAAATAATATTTTCGGCACACTAAAAAACCTCTCAAATGAAATGAGAGTGAAATAAACGAAGGAAGAAGAGATAAATGACAGGAGAAAGAGTGGACTTTACCTCACAGCCAAATAGAGTCAGAGGGAAAGTTGACCGTCTGGAAAAAAACGCAGACAGTCTTTAATCTGGGCCCAGCTTTGCCCCAAGCCCATTCGGATCCTCAGAAAGGTAGCATCCACATCAACCTTGGTTTCTGATCACTCAAAAAAAAAAAAAAACAAAACACATTTATAACGCAAAATTTCAAAGAAATTAAAAACCGCAAGGATGTGTTATGATCAATCTCTGCAATCATATATTAATGGAAAAGTTTTCTTTTGTGACCGATAAGTTATGAGTTCGAGTTATGAAAATAATTTCTTTGCAATGAAAGAATAAACTTATATACAATATACGTTCATCCAACACTTGCAAAGCAAAAAACTTTATTGGTTTGGGTCGCCCAAACTATTCACCCTTAGGTCATATGTAAAGCACTTAGGCAACATCATTCATAGAACAACTTTTATAAATAGGTAAAATTCTATCTATTATGGTCACATTTGATCTTATGTTGGTTCCACGAGGAAACAAAAGTATTTAGTTGAAGTTTATGTCCGATCGCTATACGGCTCAAAGAGAAACAAGTGGGGTAGGAGTGGGCGGAAAAGGATCCTCGCCAGATCTTTTTTCTAGAGATCCAGTTATCGTGACTGTTAATCTTACATTGTACGGTCGGTTTTCGTTAGGTACTATTTTTATTTAATTTTAAATTTTGAAATGATTTTTTATCGCACGATATATGATGAACGGTCACGATCACGGAGGAATTGGATCCTCCAAGCTCAGGAGCCTCCTACCAACACACAAGGATCGTTGAATTTTGATTAAACGGCTACAATCATCATTATAACTTTTAGAAGACCCCATGTTTGTAATCGTTGGATCAAAATCCAACGACCCTTATGTATTGGTAAAGTGACTCCTTAGCCCAAGCTTAGGAGAGAATCCAATTTCGATCACAAGATCCCTAAGATCCCTAGAAAAAAGATCTGACGATGATCATTTTTCGAGAGGGCAACGAAGAGAGCTCTCCTTCTCTACGCATGGTCGCACTACCACATGATCCAACGAGGGAAGTTATTCGTACCAAAGTTTCCCAAGCTTCCACACAAAAAAAAGGAGAAAAATATTAGAGTAAAATGTAATTAGGATAACGGAGGGATTACGAAGAAATTAAGGACGTCAAAGTAGAAAGAGAGGGAACTGACACTAGAGAGCAGAGATTAGACAGTTCGGCCACTGCCAGAGACTTCCATATCACGCCGTCAAAACACACCCATCCAACTGAGAATCGCAGAGGGCACCAACCCCTTAACGCCGCCAATCCAACCGTCATCTGCGGTCTAACTTGTGTTCTGTACCCGTACGAATATAAAAACCACACACAGAGAGACTTAACCGCACCG